CACCTCGATGCTGTTCATAGAACACGTCCTTGAGAAATGAAATATCTCCATGCTGCAGTGAACAGAACCAAAGAAGAACTTGCCGCTTTTCTTCGTTCATTGTTCGTATTCCACAGGACCGTAACTGAACGTGTCGGCTTCTCCATCCCTGTTCTTTAAAAGATAGCCATTCTTTTAGACACTCGGTCAGCCGTGTCTAATAAGGTAATGAACTCGCACCCCTCTGTAACGCCATTTGTGAAGCCGGGATTGGGGGATGTCGCAGAAAGACGAGTCAACAATGCCACAAACTTTTTTAAAAAAATTTTTAGATGCCTTATTTTAGACTAGCGCCATCAGGTCGCGGGGTTTTATATATAAGCAGGTAATATTTGCTTGTCACCTTGTCCTATACCTACCGACATTGTTTGAGACTGGATCGTCGCTTTCCTGAGATGGCCGTATACTTGCAAAGCAACCGTGGGGGGATGAAACTTCTGTACCAGGGATTTGAGTATACCAAGGAGCGTTGCGATAGAGAAAAGGCGAGTGCTTTTGCGTCTATCTTGAAATATCCTACGGTTTCTAGAGCTCATAATAGAGACTGTAAAAAAACGTCTCATAAATATTTAAATACAAATTTTAGTCTGTAGCCCGGCATAACAAACGTCTCATCTTTTCCATTTTCGCTGTACGGCGCTTTTGAGCCAGCTTCAGTGGTATAAGCTTACGTGAGCTCTGGTTGACTAACATAAATAAGAACAGTTAAGCAACATCCATCCGTCAGAGGTCGTGCCAAACAAAAAAAAAGAAAAACAACCGCATCTTCACGTGGTGCATGATGTTGATTGGGGCGAAGCTCTGGTGGTGCTTGTCTGCGTAGATGCTGAGCCGCAGCATGCCGAGCCTTTCGTTCGTTTTCATCCATGTCACGCTGCAGTCAAATGCTCAAATGCGTATATAACCACGTTCCATACCACACATTCTCTTTCTGACATGGATGAAAACGAACGAAAGGCTCGGCGTGCTGCGGCTCACCGTCTACGCAGACAAGCACCACCGGAGCTTCGCCCCAATCAACATCATTCACCACGTGGAGATGCGGTTTTTTTTTTTCGTTTTTGTCCTACACGAGCACGGGAGCACGTGCTCACGTGCTCGTGAACACGCGAGCGCGTGAGCTCACGAGCAGGAGCACGTGCACCCGACGGCGGACGGACACACGGACATGGCTGGCCCCTAAGGAGCTTCGCCCCTAATAGTCACGCAAATCTTTGAGCTTGGGATAATCACAGATTCGGAAACTTTATCATAAACTTAAACGTAAATGCAGATTATTTGATCACAATCAGCAAGAAATATGCATATTTGTTTAGCTTTTGCTCTCGTAAGTGGCGTCAGGGACAAAATTCCTAGCTTATTAACTTGCGATTGGCCATTCTATGCACTCATAAGCCGCTATAGCTCACGCACGTGTTGACAATGGTAACTACGCAGTCGGCCATTAGTATATCGAGCTGTCCTCATTCAGTGTGTCTTCGAATCAAGCGTAGTCTTTCTTATTAGTACTCAGATTATTATGCAAGCTCTTCATAAGTTTAATTAAGTTGCAATATACAAAATATTTATTCCTCGCAGACATAGTGGCAATGTAGCCGGAAGCTTGAGTGCAAAGCAAGGGCGCACACAATTGATAGAGAAGTCGTCAAGTTAATCGGGGAACACAGCCATGCTGCCTGTCCACTGAATCAGGAGGCCAAGTTGGCGTACTCCTCAATGAAGCAGCGAGCAAGGACGACAGAGGAACCTAACCTAGCCGTCGTCGGACGCCTGGTGGCTGAAGATGGCCCCGGAAGCCTGCAGTTATTTACCGCCCCAGGATACCCTCAAACGAACGCTGAGGTAGGTGTGCCTGTAGCCTATATACCGGTTCCACAAAATTTAACACTTAACAAATATGCGCCAATTTAAATCTGACAAACGCTGCAACTTTGTCAAGAGGCTAGCCTAAAAATTTTGAAAATTGCACACATAGTCACGAATTGACAGGTCACCGCCCAAGTTGAAAAGTGATGGTAACATTGGGATGGCGCATGAAATAACCCAATCTCGAAACCCCCGCCCCTCCTCCGTCTTTAAAATCCCCGATTTTCAGACTCCCCGCTCCATCACCCCCTGATAATTCCCCCGAATTTTACGACTCGTTATCTCTTGACTGCCCCGGAAGAAGCTCAGTTGGCGTTGTCGTTCTGATGCATTTTTTGGGGGTATTGAGGTCAGATAGTTCAAGGTATGACAATCTTAAATGAAGTTTTAGATGCGGTGCAGCACTGGCGTAACAGGGGAAATTGAATGCGAGGATTTTGACGACGGGGGTTCTGATACTGGGGGGGAAGCAGCTCCTGGTATTCGGGACGGGGGAAATGACACCGGGAGAAACGTGCTACAACCGTAATATTGCCATTTCTTTACATGCAGGAGGGTTCGGGCACAGAAGCAACGGCCATTGCCTCTGCCGTTATGCTTAGACGACGTCGTCATACCTGCGAAGTATGCATCGAAGAACGATGGGTCAAGGTTTCTGTTGTACGACTCCGGTGTGCAAGAGCAGAACCGCTTCGTTATTTTCAGCAGCCCGCAGACAGTGGAGGTTCTTCGAACGACTAAAAAGTGGTTCGCCGACCGCACGTTCAAGGTAGCCCCGGAGTTGTTTTTTCAGCTCTACAGTCTGCACTGCGACGTGGCCGGTTCCATCCTGCCTGCGACATACATTTTGCTAACGCGGAAAGACTGTAGGACGTATATGCGAGCTCTTAGTGCTCTCAACGCCGAGTGTGGGGGAGGCTGCGAGCCAAGGACTGTGATAGTGGATTACGAACTCGCGGCCATCAACGCATTCAGAGTGGTCTACCCAAGGACCGACGTGCGTGGTTTTTTTTTGTTGTTTTTTTTTGCATCTCTTACAGTGTGTCTATCGCAGAGTTTAGTCGGGAGCTCAACTCCAGGAACTTTATACTTTCGACCTTAATATCAACCGGGAAGCACGGATGACCCCAGCTCTTGCAATGGTTCTCCAGGACGACGTGGAGCAAGTCTTCACCGAGCTGGTGTCCAGTCTCCGCACCGAACTGCTCCCGGTGGAGGACTACTTTGAAGATGTTTTCATAGGGCAGCCCACGGCAGGGGCACAAGAGACGCGCAGTTTCCGATTGAGCTGTGGAGCCACCACGACACCGCGCTCCAGGGCGACCCCAAGACGACCAACTCAGTGGAAGCCTGGCACCGGGGATTCCAGGCCCATGTTCAGTGCTCGCACCCAACCCTCTGGAGATTTTTGGAAGTGCTAAAACGAGAAGACTCCCTGCAGCTTCACCGGCTTGGGAAACTCGAGATGGGCCAGCGCTTCAGCCAGGCATCGAAATATGCGAAGGCTTCCGAGCGCCTGAAGACACTCGCTAGGGAGTACGACTGTAGGGATGCTCGACGCCTCCTTAGGGGCGTTGCCCGAAACGTCTCGTTATAGGTCCCGTGGCACAAGCGATTTGTGAATAAAAGTGGTTCATATGACATTTTCCATGTTATTTCTTCTGAAGACAACTAACTGGCTTCCAACTTTTGCTTTATTGGGAAAACCAGGACTATTCTGAAGTGCGTGAAATTAGCTTTATGTGTTTGAATGGTATTCGGGCGGGCTATAAACTCGAGCTACTTTCCAGAAAAAGCACCCCTTCAGTATGGAAATCAGACACGTGAACAATTTTATACAATCGTGACCTACTAAAAGTTGCGACAAATTCTATAAAATGCACATTTTTCAGAATGTCAAGCATCGTGGCGTGTAGATGCCAGATACGATTGCCAATATCCAAACACATGTTTACACCGAACTATGCATTTACCATACGCCTTTTAGGAAAATATAATTTTTGGGTCAGATAAGTAACAACTTAACTTCTTTAAGCCTATCGCATATTTCTCAGAGAGAGCAAAAACACCGAAATGTCCAGACACCGAATTGTCCCACACCGAAGTGTGCGGATCCTTAAAATAACAGCGTTGGTGTTCCGAGCGAATAAATGACTCGAAAATGAACAATCACGACTCTTTAAAAGACATGGCAGAAAAATAAAAGAAAGAAAGCCCAGGTTGTTGTAAAAATGCAATCGATTTTATTCTTCTTTGGACGCCAAGTTAGCGCGGTCCAACAACCCTGCTCTGCGGACCTGAAGCGCGTCATTGTTCAGCCGAGACGGACTGCAAAAAAGAGGTGCAGGCCTTGGGAAACCCAGACACCTTTTCTGCAACCTATAAGTCAATGAAAAAAATGAAAGGTGTTTACAAATCTCTGTCATGCGAAACTAGAGCGCAGCTCTTGAGTAGGAGTAGGGGATTTTACGGAGGAGAGGGTATGCCCCTCCTCCTAAATTTGGCGGGGAAAATGACGTCACATGACTTTGTGTCACGTCACCCATGAACGAATTAGGTTTTAGTGGGAACATTGACGCCACGTGACCTCAACACCAATTCAGTTTCCCCGCTAAATTTAACGGGAAAATTTACCAATTCAATTTCCAGCTAAATTTAGCGGGGCGACCACGCCGACGCCGACGTCGCGAAACCCGGAAACTGGCGCCTAAGTGCTCTTTTAAAAAGGTAAATAATAAGGGAAATAGATTAATATGTCTTAATTTCCAAACAAAACTGCACCACTACCATAAAGCATTTACCTTGTTACTCCAAAAAACTTATCTTGAAAATATAGAAACACGGTCTTTAGTTAGGTCGACTCATCTGGAATCTTGTTTTCTTTTATATAAAAAGCGCTGCAATCGCCTATTTCCACATGACATCCATGCATAATGAAACGCAGCGTATTTTTATTTCATCACAAAAGTTAATTGCCGATTACAGTCCACAATCGTTTAGAAATTCTCTAGGCAACATACGGAGCACATGTTAGAGCGTGTCAATATTGCAAATAAACTCGACTTTTTGTGACAGTTCTAAAAAAGACACATGTCCACTCCTAAAATCGTTTATTTCCAATACTTTGTTTACATAGAGCAAATGCTTCATTCTGCTCCCCAACAATTCGCCAATCTCCTGTTTTGCATCCGCCCTATGTGACAGACCCCACATCAGTTTCTGCTGGGAGTCGTCGCCAAAGAGGGGGGAACGCTGACAAAGGTCCCGGGGAGACGGCGACAGACGGATTTGAACGTCATCAACGTTACATGGATGACGTATCTTGTATTTGGCCCTATGGGCATCTCGGCAGCCGGTAAGCTACTTTGAACGAATGAGGCACCCTTCAGTTCTCCCTAAAGTCTGCTGTCCATACGTCCACCTCGCCGAACATTCTTCTCACGACGATTTCCTCCTGCGGAAAGAAAACTAGTAACTATAATAAACCATATTTTTGTAACAGTGTTTGCAAGCGCAAGAAAACGTCAAATGCGACAAAATGGCGTCCCGGAAGTCTGTCAGAATAGCCCTCCACCTACATCACTACTCGCTCATTTCCAAAGCCTTTGTTCTGGTAGGAATGCTTTTGTTTTTGTGTGTGTACTAGCAAGAAATGTATGATGCAATGCGCGTGTTTTACTGATCACAAAATGTATGAACTTCCGCGCGCTGAGCAGCAAGGTTTGCGTGCTTAATTATTGATTAGGAAGCAAACCTAAAAAAGATAAGCATCACGAGTTCTAACGTGTGCCGTTCGCACCAACTCCTGGTTAGGTAGAGCATAGCTGGTAGAGAATATTCCAATATATGCAAAAATGTACAAACAAAGAGTTGGTAAAAAACGCCCCAGCGACGCGAGCTTGGCACAATTGATTCGCGATATGGAAGCACGTGCGAAGTGCGTCTACATGGCCGTTGAGAGAAGCCCTTTGATTGAATTGCGTTTAAGCTTGACGTCAAAGATGGGCCCATCTCGATCGTCTAGATATGTAATACAATGGCGAAACGAAAAAAAAAAAGAATTTGTCTCGCAAATAAGGACATTTAATAAGATAGTATTTTGATAAGCTGCAATTGTTCGAACCGATTCTGGTCATATATTTCGCTCTGTCGACATTTCTTTATCTTGCCGCAGTTCTGAATGACGTTTTGTGATATCTGAAGAAATAATGAAGTTGCAACTGGATACAGGACATTGTTTCGGCCGCTCCCCGAACCAGCCACATGAAAGTTCCTTTGAAGTTAGTTTGTGCGCACCCCACTAAAATCCGTTTTTCGTGTTTGAAAGTCCATTGATCGAAATGAAAAATCGTACTGCAACATTCGAAAAGAATGCCGACCCTCTGAAAGCTCACCCACCTAATATTTCCCACTTAATGCTTCATCGCGGGTGGATGGCAGTTTATTCCGTATTTAAAAAAAAAAAAGAACTGAAATAAAAAAATAAAAAAAAAACAGAAGATATTTTTGAACAGTCTGGTTGAAACGCCCATATCAAAAAAATAATTTTATGCGAAACAAAAGAATAATTAGAACAATATTGATGACGCGAGGCGCGATTTAGTCGGTAGTCACCTCCTTTCCCCTTGTTTTCTCTCTCGGCATTTCGGGCGCGTGGAGGAGAGCTGGATCGGCTTCGCCTTCACGTTGAGGAGGAAAGAGCGAATGACCGAGATGGTCATTCCGGAATAACCCGTGACGTCACGGACTTTGCGCGCAGAATTTCAAATAAATCTCTCACCGTCAATATATTTCTAAAAAAAACTTTTTCGCGTAAAAATATTTTTTTTTACACGCGTATCCCAACCAAACTGTTCAAAAACACTTTTGTTTTCTTTTTAGGGGCCCTTTAAAGAATTTAGACTTTTTTTTTTCTTTTTAAATATTTCTGGCTGCTTCCCGGTAGACTTAGAAATAAACAGACAGAACAAGTAACATTGGCCGCTTATCTTTTTCGCGTTTTGGGGGCATTGCGCCGATAGCAGACTAGCGCAATATCGGACAATGACATAGATCCGCGAGAAGAGCGCCCGCATGCTCGCCTTATCCGTGACCGGGTAGAACCTGTGGTAGACGTCCGGTGGGAGCACGATCAGGTTGCCGGGGTACACCTGGATGCGCAGCCATTGGTCCGAGGGGTCCCTGACGTCCAAGTAACCCGTGCCCTTCTCGAAGTAGCGCACCTCCTCGTCCGGGTGCTTGTGCTCTCGCGAGATGCGGACCACCTGAGCAAAAACGGACACTTAGTCGAGCGCACATAAAGCCATTCGGCAGGAGTGTTGGCAGTGCGTGCACACGGTGGCTCCGCCTAGAGGTACTACTGTGCTACGCATGAGGGGAACGACACTGCAGCCATTCTGCTGCTCAAACTCGTGGTTTACAACTCCGAAGTTTTATATAAGATTGCGGGAGACGGTTTTCTTTCCTCCAGAAATCTTAAGAGTCCGCGAGAAGACAAAGCAATATCTCTTGAATTTCCTAACATCGTATCTAAAGCTCATCAAGTCGCATTTTCGAATCGCTACGGTCGCTAATAGTAGCCGCTGGACACACAGCACCAAAAATGGCGACGCCCACAAGAATATTAAAGAATGGAGTGCCGATACTCTTAGCGTATAACTTATATAGTGGCTCTAACTCTGCCGTTGGTCCAAACGTGAAGGCACAACATCTAGTCTCAGTGGTCTAAATGCAGGATGCAAAGGTTAGTTCTGGAAGTTCAACTTTAAGGGACTAACGAGAGGAGCGCAAAAGTTGCTCCTTTCCCCGTTCGTCCAGGGGACTAGTGGCTTTGACAATGCATTTGCTCCCCGGAGGAACTAAGTCCAGCTCCCCTTTTTCTTAGAGTGCACGAAGCATATCCAAACGACGCCTGGCCGACACCCGGGGGAAATCAGATTTCCAGAATACTCGCACGACATTGCGCCAATACTAGGCCTGTGTCGAAACAACGGTACGCCAATACCTGCTGGATATCGGGCGGTGCTAGGATCGATTTTCGACTGGCACTGGCAGGACCCTGGCCAATTATCGCCGTGCTGCTTGGGTACGTTTTCAATTCCGATCTCTTCCTATCGCCAAATAATTAAAGTTGATATTCAAACATCCCGGCTACGTCAGACGTAAATATTGTAACCGTCACAAGAAAATAGCCGACGTAAAAGTAGAACGAGGCCTGCAACAGAACGCCCTTCTTTGAAGCTGCCTCCGCAGAGTGCGCGCGCCGGTATCTTTTCGCGCACTACTGCTCTAAAATATTCGAATCAATCTCAAAATAAGGGGAACCACGTCTTCACTTCATCGAATAAACATTGAATTGATAACGACCACCTTCATAAAAATACATCTCAAGGTCAGCTTTTTAGCGTTTCGGTCAAACGCCCGGTCAGCTTTTGTCCGGCCCTGCTCAAAACCGGGTGAACTTTCCTCCGAACCTGCCGAAAAGCGGCTGAGTTTTCTTTCCCGTGAGTATTTCTCCACTGAGATCATCTCCGATGAAATTTTCTCTGGTGAGCTTTTCTCCAAGACTCGCTATCTTCACATGGTGATAACAAAATGGTTAAAGGGACCATGAAACGATTTTGAAATCGAATTTCATCCACCGCACATAGTAAAAGTTGTGAGAAGAAAATGAAAACACAAAAATAGAGAGCCAAAAAGATTTTGTTCGCTATAGAACTTCTAAACAAAGAAGCGGACTCTTTTATATCTTCATTCCTTTGAAAGTTGTCAGCCTTTTCACTGCAATGCATCCGCGGTGCCGAAGAACATCAGCCAAATCCACGTCGCCTATTGGATACGAGCGTACCTCACCAGCACCGCGATCATAAGCAATAAGTAGCCGACGTATGTTTCTTAAAGGTTTTGTTAAAAAGATTTTCTAATCCACATTTTGTAGCATAATCAGCGATGTGACGGAAATCGCCAAATTTTATGATGCTTGGAGCTATAGACCCTTTCAGGCAACATTTCATGGGCGCCGCCATCTTGACGTCACGTGACCCTGCCGCCATAGCCGCCCTTCAGTTTCTCGCCGTTCCTCCGCGTTGTGTGCTGCACCGGCCACTACCGAAGCTTTTTTTTTCGCGTTCTTTCACATTCCGCGTTGAAATAGTGTGTTTTCTTTAGGTCTTTTCGATATTTCGGGCTTTCATTTAATCATTTGATATCTATATTTCAACATAGCTCTTGTATTTTCTTATTTATGAAATGGAATCGGACAGCTAATGGATCGACGATACAAGGTTATGGCTTCAGAGACCATGTAAGTTCATCCTTCTAACGTTTTTCTCGCTAATAAAGGGCAGCTCACACCACAACGACATATGCAAATTTCAACTGACGCAGTAAGGCTATCGCAGTCGTGCTTCTCGCTGCATGTGCGCGCTCGTTTCCGTAAAGCCGACCCGCATGTAAGCGATTTAGCGTGCGACGAGACGAGCGACGGAGACAACGACGAGAGTCAGCGACGAATATTTCTCACTGTCGCCTGTTGCATCGCTCGGTTTTTTGGGTTTCTAGAAAACGTCGCTCACCGTTTTGGTCGCTTGCTCCCGTCGCTTCCATGCGGTTCGCTTCGTCGCGCGACTGCGCGAGCGACAGCGAAGCGGGTCACCGTCGCTTGTCTCGTTGCTCGCCGAATCGCTTGCATGCGGTTTATACTTAATATCGAGGCGCCAATTGTCCAATGGTGTGTGCATGGAAATTAATTGAGTATAAACCGCATGTAAGCGATTCGGTAAGCAACGAGACAAGCGACGGCGACCCGCTTCGCTGTCGCTCAGTTATTCGCGCCGCGAGGCAAACCGCATGGAAGCGACGGAGCAAGTGACCAAGACAGTGAGCGACGTTTTCTAGAAATCCCAAAACCGAGCGATGCGACGGGCGACAGTGAGAAATCTCCGTCGCTCGTCTCGTCGCACGCTAAATCGCTTACATGCGGGTCGGCTTTACGGAAACGAGCGCGCACGTGCAGCGAGAAGCAAGACTGTGATAGCCTTACTGCGTCAGTTGCAATTTACACAAGTCGCAATAGTGTTGACTTCCCTTTATTAGCGACAAAAACGTAAGAATGGGATGAACTTACATGGTCATTGAAGCCTCATAATGTTGTATCGTCGACCCATTCGCTGTCCGCTTCCATTCCATAAATAAGAAAATACAAGAGCTATGTCGAAATATAAATATCAAATGATTAAATGAAAGTCCTAAATATCGAAAAGACCTAAAGAAAATACAAGATCTCAACGCGGAACGTAAATGAACACGAAAATGAAGCTCCGGTAGTGGCCTGTGCAGCACACAACGCGGAGCAACGGCGAGGAACTGAAGGTCGGCTATGGCGGCCCGGAAAGCGCGCGAAGGGCGCGCCGACTGGTGGCAGTTCGAGTAACTGACTCGCTGAAAGCGTCTATATGTCCATCTATCGTGTTGTAAATGATGCAAGAGAAAGATCAGACTGCGCCTACGCAGAGCCGTTTGTCTGCTGAAAAACGTGGCGTCGGTGATGACGATCGTGTGGCGAGATTTGTACTATACCGGTACAGTCGTGTGTTAAAGGGGATTTGTAGTAGACCGTCTTCGCAGCCCGCTAAGCACCCGGATAGCGCTCCGTAATCCGCCACAAGACCTTGAACTATGCAGACAAGGCTGGCGGCGCGCATGCGCAGCTGCGGCGTTTTGTTCACGGGTATCGTAGCGGAGGAGAAAAACGGTCTACTACAATTCCCTATAGTCGTGATCGTCCAAGACGGCGTACTGCAACTGCATATTTTTCTTTTCTTTTTCCATCCACCCTGCCCTGCGAGCCTCTCCTGACAAAATAAAAGTTAATAAATCTTGAGTATAAAAAAACTGTGAATTTTCTGCTACGACAGTGAGTGGCAGCGCTACCGCAGAAACGGCTGACGGCGGGCGGAGAAGCAGAAGTCGTGCTGGCGACCTGCTGCGCTTGTTGCAGTGGTTGCAAATGCGTGTGCCCGTGGCGCAGAGCGGTTAATTGTTGCGGTCGCTCCGGTCACAACGAACGCACTCATAGCTATAGCAAGTTCGTTGCATGTGCCCGAATTACAATTTGTGCAGTCCGGAGCTTAAAAAGAAGCGGCTGCAGTTTCGCAGCTTTGCCGCTCTAAGAACCACGTCGAAGCTCTTGGTGCACGCTTATCGGTTTGAGGGACCTTTAGGCCTAAGTCATTCGTGTATGCTCGAAACATTCCATACATTGGAATCGCCACTCCTTGTCGTCCGATTCCAAAGAGGAACTGGAGTTTAACAGGCGTACCGGCGAATGGGAACAGTCCCATGCTGCGCAACGTATGTAATTGAATTTTGCTCAGCTGCGATGTGTCCATGGCTATCGCGGTGATGAGAGGCACCGATTCAGAAAATATGTCGGTGGCATCGGCGCAATCAGCGCAGTAAAACCCCGTGATAAAACCCACCGGGCACACCGCCAGCACGCCGCTAACGAACCCATTCTCCTATAGACCTTTTTCGCATAAGCTCAAACCAGCCAGTAACTGACGTACCCTCGACCTGGTGCATTTTTTGATTGCCCGCTGACACAGGGTATGCAACCGCCAAGGGTATAGGCGAAAAGGCTTAAAAACGGACGTCGTGCATGAGTTAGTTCCGAGTGCTCCTTTTTACCGTGCTGCAATTTCCGAAAATCTACGGTTGCCTGGTTACCACTGCGTGGTCGATGGATAAATAATTTTAAAAGCGTTACAACAATAGCAGCAAGTGTGCCATGAGCACAAGAAGCTGCAGCGCGAGTGTGGCTGCAATGTTATCAAGCTTCGCATTTTCCCCAAGAATCTTTATTTATGAAATGAGTCGATTGCGAGCTTGAATCGCGAGAGATTCGTATCAGAATCAACGTCACGTTTAAGCTCACGACCACTTCGTCTACGATAAGAGGACCGACTTTAATTCCCGGTGCAAGTTGTCGAATTAGGTTATCACTGCAAGCCCCATGGTATGTGAAAGCTATGAAAAAGTTTACATGCCACCACTCAAGATGGAGCTATCAAATGTCGAGAGCTTACCTGCATAGACTACATTAAACTGCTCATATATACTTCGCTGTGGAAACTCAATCAAAACACCCCACCGTCTTCGTCCTCGTTCTCTCGAGGAGGCAAGGTGGTGGCCTGGGAGTAGCCAGCTGGATTCAACCGGACAAGCTCCAACCAAGCTATTGCAGCCCACCATAGCCAAGTCTAGCCAAGTTCCCCCATACCCACACCGTTGCCTACCCAGATAGCTGTGCTGCCAGAACTAGCCGGTATTTCTTTTTCTAAGCCGCTAGACGGCGTCGTCGGCGCCGCAATTCTCAAGATGGCGGCGCCGTTAAAGAAAAGGTCTATAGGGAGGCTCTAGTTAGGGTGGGCGCAACTCAAATTCTGGAGAGCATTTGTAATTTAATGGCGGCACCTGAGAGAGAGCATTGGCAAATGATATGCGCCAATGTTGTTTGCACGAGAACAGAAGCCCACTCTGTTACCCCATGTGCCCCAAGCAACGAACACTTTGGCGTACCCTTTCTCGCTTCCTTCTTGCTCCCAGAATTGCGAACGTCGAGAGAAGAAAGCAGGGTTACCAGGCAAGCGGAAACTTCCTAGATGGCAGAATTTACCATTTTTCGTGTTAAACAAATGCTTAGCCTATCGGAACAAAACTGGTGGCTATAGAAAAGTAACCATTTAAACCTGGCGTAAATTATTCAAGCACATTAATGGGCTCATATCACCTTAGGAAATAAAACGACCCTCTGCCCGGTAGACTCCCAGCTAAATTATCAATTAAATGGCGTCCGTATCCCGAGATCCCCAATCTAGAGGTTGAGCCCAGCCTAACGTCTGGTTTCGGTGCCAGAGCACGTCGCGACTGTCAAAATTACGCCGCGGCTTGTTTTGCGGTGAGTTGGAGCGAAAGAAATACTCTATATTTCATTAATTTTTCGTATAGAACTTAATAAACCGAAACAAAAACGAATGCCGGTTCGGCGTTCAGTGGACATTGAAGGTATAATGAAAAAGTCATTAAGCAAAAATAAAAAAAAAAATTCATTTCATGGTCCCTTTAAAACGTTTTCGAGATGCAAACAAAAATGTGATTTCACTGGTACTATACCGTGGATTTGTAGTCTTCCCTTTTTGGCGATATGTAGAGACGATCCTCACTTCGGATGTGTCGCTGCTGCTTGATTTTCCTCAAGATGTTATCGCCATCTTCCTTCGACTGTGCCTGTGGATGGAGCACGGCATCCGTTAGTGGATATTTTCCCGAACTGCCATCACCAAGGAAAATGACGGGAACTCGTCTTCTCCGTACATAAAGTATCGCTGGTTTATACTGTTATCTCATCCCCCATGAACGACAGTTTTCACAACAACGTCGGGAGTTAAACCGCACCTTTCTCTAATATATTTGTACGGTTCTGCGCGGCGAAGCTACATTGATAAATTCGCATATATGTATTGATCGCCTTACACGCGGAAGTGGGAGGCCGTTTGAATTGCCTCGCCAATTAATCAAAAAGTAACCATAACACCCACGAAAAATTTGCTCGGGTAAGGTAATAGAAAAAAATTAACACATTTAAGTCCCATCGCTGCATAAAACGCGCCCCCGAAAATTAAAAAAAAAAATATAAAAAAATAAAACGCAACTTATATCCCGGCCGGGTTGGATATGCGCTCGCTGGTGACGTCATAGAAGTGTCATGCTGTCGCTAGCCGCGATGATGGCCGCGTCCCAACAGCTGAGGTGGATGTGGCAGACGTCTGTTCTGCTGCAGGTCGCTCTCCAGTCTGACAGTTCGTGGAACCTTCGGCAGCCAGACGTTGGGACGTCGCGAAGGCAGCGACACTTGAGTTCGCACGTGACCTTTGTCAGCATTTCTACGACCAACCGCCAGGATCGCGACATCCAACAGCATGACACTCCGGTGACGTCATTTGTTGCCGCTTCGGTACCACTTTTGTTGTTTGGGCGAGATAGGACGCTAAACACACCAGTCGGAGACGCGCTTCAGGCAACATAGAATGACTGCACCTATGGTTCCAATGCGCCTCTGGCACATAGTTGCCGGCAAGTGCCACTGAGCGGCCAAGAACTGCGCCGCAACGTGGCTGTGGGACGTGCCATTACTATACTCGAGGGCTACTTTCTTGCAATGCTACCCTATACTTCGTCACTCTTAACCGCAGTTAGGTCACCCTTAACTGTAGTTACGCTCAACCACAGTTGCCACACTACACTCGGACAGCTATATCAGAAGTGTAGATCGAGTGCGCGTGCAATGCTTTGATGGGCGCTCAAGGTACGCAAGTGCACGGCGCCCATAGCTTTGACAGCCTAGCGACGGAACGTTGACCAAGAGTGTGGTAACTGTGATAGAGTCCAACTGCAGTTAAGTGTGCCCGTGTAACAAGGGTATAAAGAGCGAGTGCTTGAGAGCCGTTCGGTTTTTATCCGTCTCACAATCCTTTTGGGGAGCCAACACATCTGCCTTTCGCTTTCTGCGTTTAGACGCAGTCGCAACACAACCACATGGAAGATGTGGTTGTGTTGTCCCTGTTTTAATTGTTTTATTCTTTCTTCATCTATGACGTCTAAACGGGTTTTCTTGGGGGTGGTGCGGGTATTAGGCCCTTCAAAAACCCATCAAAAAGCGTGAGCACGACTGCCAGGACTTGCATCCTTGTGCGGTGTTAAGGTACATTATCCACGCAACCGTCAATGGAGATTTCTCGTTCACAAAAAGGATCGCTCCTGGTCTACTTCCACGCGGTGCGATGCATGGCAGCTGTTAGACAGACACGCCAGAGGTCTTCACCGACTGGCGGGGCACAGCAGTGAACAAGTGAGACACGCTCAACAGAACCCGTTCAGCAGCAGAGTGGAACAGCGAGATTAGTTGGGTCGCCCTCGCGTACAACGACACCTTCTCCCGCCAAGGAACCGGCCGTATGAAAAAGAAGCGCGCGTATCTAAACTATGTCCACGCTTAAGCAGAGAATGTAGCCAATGCCACAAGCACGAGAGCTCGAAGTCGCGGCTTCGAAGCGTTCTTCCACGGGACGAGCGCTCGTATTAGAACTTCATGTCTCAAAGCCAGGAGCGCGGGCTAACTCGCGTTTGTAGCTTTGGCTGCAGTCTCAGCTTAAGGGTGAGTGGAGTATAGTCCGGCCGCGCTTTGGTAAATACGGTAAATAACCAAAATTAGACGACAGTACGTGCACACTCGCTTTAAGAGTTTCCTGTTTAGAACTGCTACAGATGCCGGCACGTGCAGCGCGTGGAACTACACTCGCAGCAGGCCCCATGGTGCCTAGCTAATTTAGCAAAACGTTCACCAGAATAAGCTGGCATAGCAGTTGCGACTTCGGCAAGCCTAACTGTGGGGCATACAAAGTCAAAATGCTGTTCTCAATGTAAAGAGAAAGGGAACATAAAGCCACAGTCACAGCCACTCATACATCCTACAAAAAACAAGCTGTTCGCTGAAGTCACGATTTTACTGCACGTGTCTCGCACAGAGCCGCTCGGTGTGCAGGGCAGAAGCATGGCGCCCATGCACGGTGCCCCTGACACCTTTGTCGGGTGCACAATAGTGTCACACGTGTCTCAGAGAAACGTCTAAAGCGTGTTCGAAGCATCTTTGCTTCATACACGCAGGGTATTGTTTTTTTACAGCGGAGTTGTTAAGGGCTAGTTTTCTCAGGATCGTGTCCGTCCTCAAACGACCCGATGACACAGAACTCTGGAAAGCTACCGCGATCTATGAGCGACGGAGGCAACATTTTTAGCCTTTTCACTTTGGCTTGCCGACTTGCGGCCGGTCATTACTTCATTCCCACCAAAGTACAGCTTCGCTGGTCTTCTTTCTTCACTTGAGTGGAAAGGCTGAACTTTTTTTAAGCTTCACATACTCGTTTGAAAAAAGCCGTGAAAGCAACATTTATGCGGTTTGTGCAGGTAAGTTATGCGGCCAGGGGGACATAATAGAGGGGGCTAATCGTAACGATCAGTCGGCTAATTAAGTTAAATTCGTTCATTACCTTATTTTAATTACTGAAAATAGACTTATAAATTAGAAACTTCCTGAGAGTCATCAAAAACCACTAAGTAATTCTTAAAAAGGCCTTGAGCGCGTGAGAAGAGCAGTTGTGCGTTATATATACCACTCGTGCAGCAGGAGCGAGGCCACGCGTGCAACAACGCGCCCGCGCATGTTTTCCTTTCCTATTATAGCCTCACCTTCGTACCTGTTGGTCTTGTGGTATCTTCAGCGCACTACTACGTTTCCCACATCCTCAAAGCATTTCTAAAAATTATTCACTTCGTGGTTTTCGATGACACTTAGCAAGTTTCTAATTGAAACAATAAGTATAGTTTCACTAATTAAAAACGTTCAGCCTTTCCACTCTCGTGAAGAAGGAAGACCAGCGAAGCTATTCTCGATATACTGTGTGCTTCTTCGTCGTCGTCTGTTTTTTCGCGGTGTTTCCTACTATGAATTCTGACCAACGCGCCCAACTATCCATTCTGCTATTATAGCTGGAAAAGTTGCCGCCACCTGCGAGCGACGGCGGAACCCATACTGGATGTGTGCTTGCCGCCGTCGCTTATAGATAGCGGTAGCTGTCCAGGTAGGTTTGTGTCGACATACACGGACACGATCCTGAGGAACCTATCCCTTAACAGCTCCGCTGTAAACGTTAATTGACAAATGTTACTTAATTAGCCGACTCATCGTTACGATTAGTTGAATGTCCCCCAGGCCGTAGAATTCACCTGCACAAACCGCATAAATGTAGCTTTCACGTTTTTTTTTTCTCTTTTAAATATGTTACGTTAACAAAGAAACACCCTGTATATGCTTGGTACATATGTCCACATATGTCCGCAGATCGCTGTTGAATGGCCAATGTGAGAATATACAAGAAAAAAACAGTCCTTGACAGCGTCTGGAAACTGTCTTTTGTTTGATGTACTTTTACTTCGAGCGCGGCTCATTTTGTGACGGTATTAAACGCGAAAGAGTACTAAACCGCACATATGACGAAACACTAAAGCGCGAGGCACATGCGCCACAAAGCCATCTGATCCGACGTAAGAACCGTCGGAAAAATGACTGCTCCAATTTACCGCACATGACAGTTCGAGACACATGCTTCAAACGCGTCGTTCCGCTCAGCTGCGCAGAGTTCCGGTATTAGTGCAAGGAGGCTTTACCTCCGGATTGATGGTTGGATAGTAATGGTTGTACGTTTTATAACTTCTAGCTTGCGCCACCTGACCTAGAAGCCAAAAACCTCGCCTCGCCCTTCTAATGTTGTCTAATTCCGCTTGATCGTGGTTTTTCTGGCTTCTTAACCGGCCTTCAGCGGGCTAGCTTATTTGTGAAGCAACACGGAGCCATGACGTTACTCATGTATTGCCATTTCTTATGTCGTGTCTTTCCACTGTTTCTATACTGCCTTTTTGACTACTAGGCAAACAATCTGCTCCCTCTGTTCTTGCTTATTTTGCTATGCTTTAACAGCTTCCGTTGGTAAGTTATCATCAACGATTCTTGTGCCTCGTTCCTCGCTCCGAAACTGGCGTCGTTATGCATTGCTGAGCACGTCTTGCTCTGCTCTGGGATCCGCAAAAACCGGTCGCAAAACCCGAACGTGGATTTGTTTTAGCCACTAAAATCTATTACGAAGGATGAACAAAACAAAATTGGCGTTGTTCTTCACGCAACTCTGAGTGTTCCAAAATTTTTCGTCATGACTAGTTCATGTCCTAAGTTATACCGCGAATTTAGACTACTATAAATTAAAAATAATGGTTGACAGGAAAGCGGGAATGACACGGCAGGACCTGACGCGGGAACGCTTCCATAGTAGGTTTTCTGATAAAGAACTTCCGATATAGTATCTTATTCACTACAAACTTGGAACATTTATTGTCAAACAATCGTGGGATCGTGATGGCCCCAGGTTCCCGCTGTCAACGCAAAGCTCTCGTGCACGATCTACGAAAAGTTCCTGAATTCGCTTCAAGATGGCATCAGAAATGTTTGGCTTTCTAGATATGGGAAACTGGAATATCGCGACGGCAGTTACACTGAACGCTTTGCAATGGCACGAAACACTATTTATTATATTATTCGTAGCGGCGAGATCGTTTTTCCTTTGGTAATTTTATGAATATGCAGTAAAATAGCTAAAATGCAGAGCAGTAAGTCGGCTCTAGCCTCTTACCTGACTAATTGAAACCGTTCCCGAAACTAGGCCAGACATACGTATAACTGTATCGCGGTACAGAGTGATATCAGCCGGGGATGCCATTTCTCAAACCGACACTTTTGAATTTGAAGTAGAGCCCCGAAGCAAAACTTTGAGGTCAGATATGTAAAAAAAGTGAAAGCTGCTTACAACTCCCTGTAACGCCGAATTAGAGCGCAGCTCTTGAGGAGGAGGAGGGAAGGGCACTGGGGTGGGGGGGGGTTAAACTAACCAGGGGGGGGGGTCACGTGACCTTGGGGGGTCACGTGACCCCCAATGCCGATTATGTCATCGCTGAGGTCACTGATGACGTCATCATTGACGATGACGATGCGGGTACCGACGACGTCATTAGTGACGTCACTGATGACTTCACCAGTGATGATGACGATGACGATGCGAATGTCGGTGCCGTCATCAGTGACGTCGCTGATGACGTCATCAGTGATGATGACGATGACGATGCGGATGTCGGTAACGTCATCAGTAATGATGACGATGCGGATGCCGGTGACGTCATCAGTGATGATGACGATGACGATGCGGATGCCGGTGACGTCATCAATGACGATGACGATGACGATGTGGATGCCGGTGACGACATCAGTGACGTCACTGATGACGTCATCAGTGATGATGACGATGACGATGCGGATGTCGGTAACGTCATCAGTGATGATGACGATGACGATGCGGATGCCGGTGACGTCATCAGTGATGATGACGATGACGATGTGGATGCCGGTGACGTCATCAGTGATGATGGCGTCATCAGTGATGATGACGATGACGATGTGGATGCCGGTGACGTCATCAGTGACGATGACGTCATTGGGGGTCACGCGACATCGGCGGGGGTCACGTGACCTCAGGGGAGTCACGTGACTTCAGGGGAGTCACGTGACTTCGGGGGGTCACGTGACCTCGGGGGGGTCACGTGCCCCCCACGAGGTCACGTGACCCCGGTGGGGGGCTCGCGCGGTGCATTATGGGACATTTCCCATGATGCACCGGGGTCACGTGACCTCGGGGGGTCACGTGCCCCCCACGAGGTCACGTGACCCCGGTGGGGGGCTCGCGCGGTGCATTATGGGACATTTCCCATGATGCACCGCGCGGTTACGCCGACGCCGACGCCGACGCCGACGGCGACGCCGACGCCGCTCAAGCCGGAAACGGGCCCCTAAGAGCTGCGCTCTAAAAAGACTGTACGAGACACCTCAAATCACTCGATAAATCAAGGAAACATCCTGCACTAAAGACAATAACAAACAAAAGATGCAAAAACTGCCGTGGAGTACCATTTAAAAATCTTTGCAGGTTAAATCTCAAAAAGGCGTACAAATGTACCGCAGCCACGCCAATTTTCCACACGCGAAGTCTGGCAACCCCTGATGGGAATGAAAGCTCTGTCATCCACGCTCCCTTTTTGCACAGTCTCGAACAATATGAAACAGCCATCGGACAATACGCTTCCAGGGGGCTGTGCAGGATCCGCGATGACCACGTTACTTGAGACGAGTGAAGAAGGTAACCTGCCTAGAATGAAGTCGGCCAACGCGTGCCGAGCTCCGCCGAATAAACTTTCTAAGCGAATGGGTCCTTCATACTGCTGCCGACTCAACCTTATTATTTAACTACGGATACGGCTTATCCCGAAGCCATCGGCAAGTGTGAAGTCTACTTCGGCGGTGCCACGAACCGCCTCAAATGCTTCCGATATTCAAAGAAGCCGTACGCTTGCATATCAACGTGCAGTCCCAAGTATCGTAAGCGTTTAAAACTAGGTCAACGCAACAAGGCCTTCACTGGAAACACTGGCCTGCCCACCAGCAGTGGCATATACCTCGTAAATCAGGACTCCGTCGCCCATGATCTCGCAGATCCTCTGCGCGTCCATCACCTGGCCCGGGTGGTGCACGTACCAGCCCTTCACCTTCTTCGAGCACAGCGGAGACATGCCACTTCAGAATGCTCAAGTCCGAGAAGCACAATCGTCGTGTGCCTGTGCAACCCATTGACGCCTCTTATAGCTGCTGCGGCCGGTTGTAACGACCTCGTCGGAACGCTCGGAATATCGTTTGTATAGCCATATTTATCGCCCGATAAGGAAACACGTGGGTTAGAACAAGTAGCGATGTTTCTATTTAATCGTACAATTCCTCGGTAGATGTCCTTCGTTCTTCAAAAATCTATTAGAAACATTTCAGTAAGTGTTCTGGAGGGTTCGCTGTCATCCCACTTTCATAACTACCTGCCGTCGTTGTTTCAGAAAATATAGATTGGCGGGCAGCCCCCTTCTAGTGTTCATCGCATACGCACTATGTCTCCATGAAATAACAAATGCTGTGTCTTTTTGTTTCTCTTCGCACCCGTTGCACAATCGTAATCAGTCTATTCTGGGTCGCGCCGATGTAATCAGTATGTATTGATACGTCTCTCCCGAGTGGTACGTTCCTTCTCCTCAGAGACCTTGATAACACCGCTGATAGTTGGTGTATTCCGTTACGGCGTAACTTGGCATAGAACGAAAGCTCCACAAACGTATCCAATTGTCGGAGAGTCGGAACAGCTCGGTCCGAGTGCAGCCCTCTCTCGGAAAGGCGCCACGAGCTTTGCTACGTCGCCCTCATTGGCGCACAGAGACTGCGTATTTTGCCATTTGCCAAGGCACGCTGAGACGAAGTATAACATACGTATCTGCGCAGTATGAATGTCGACACAGGCCGGAGAAACGGCGTCAACATTACACGACTGCTCACTCTTACCGTCCCATTGACGAGACTGCAGTTTCTTTCGAGAAGGTGAAGACGTCAAGCGGCAAAAAGCAGCGAATTAAAGTCATCTTAATAAACGCGAGGCGTCATAAAAGTTGAACATCTTATTATCCCTCTGCAACCAATAAGACTGCGCCGCCCAAAAGAATGTCGGAAAAGAAATCCTGAAGCAAGATTTCAGCGACTGTGACTCTGGGTTCATTCAAGACTCATTTATTACCCAGTTTTTGCTTTATCACTCAAGATTGCAAAATGCTGTCTTTGATAGCTCACCGAATGGAAAAATTGAAAATCGACTTATTTTTGGAGGTTCTTAGGATTCGGTAGCACTTGCGTCACTGGGGGTGGGGGACCGTTACGGTGCAGCGCTCAGGGGGGTGCAGTTGGGAAGTGAAAAGCGGGAGGGGGGAGGGGTGAGGGGCTCGCGGCGGCCGCCGCCCCGGGTGCCGCTGACCCTAGCGACGTCACTGTTCGATATTCACAATAACTAAAGTGTGCTAGTTGGAGGATATTTAAATATTAATTAGTTAATGAAATGCAAAGAAACAAATTCTAAATGTTGCTTGAAACGATCGGATATGGTTTGTGCGAGTGCATTAATCAAGCTTCGCTCAGGTTTTTAAAACATCTCGTACACCAATCAGTTTAAAAGAACAGTATAGAAACGACAGGAAAGGCTTTCTGCTGTCTTGACATTTTCGCGAGTCATCGCGTACATATAGAAACTCGAGGCACGACACCGCACTTGGAATGCTGGCCTTGCGGTTCCCTCTGCTTCAGGTATTCGTGACCACCCTGCTGTCCGCATCACCCAGAACGGTGCGAGGGGTGACAACTACCATCGACGCATCCACCTGGGAGCCCGAAGCTCTGAACGAGACGTGCACCTGCCAGCCAGCTTACTTCGCGGCTACCATTTTGCCAAGAACAGACGCCCACCTGTTTTTTCGCGGGCAACGTTAGTCATCGGCAACAGAATCGTCACTCGAGACGCAACACCGCACTTGGAATGAAGCAGCGTGAACCGCCTTATAGTTCACTCTGCTTCAGGTTAGTACATTACACCTTGGGATGGTACAGACACGATGACCCATTTTTGATTGTGGTGTCGTGCCTTACCCGAGCGTACGCGTTTATTGCTTGTGTCTGTTGCTTTGACTGTCAAAAAATTAGAACGTTACAACTACTTCTTTTCGGTGGCGTTTAGGAAACTCCTGGCCTAATTACAAAAGGAGAAGACAATGATCTAGAATTTGTATTGTCCAATATTCAAAGGCTTGAAAAGGGTCAAAACGAAGTGCTTGTCACCTTGAAACAATTGCGGGAAGACTTAAACAAAAGTGATGCTGTTGTGGCCTCTCTGACAGCTAGGGTAGCAGCCCTCGAGATGCACCCGACCGTTGTAACGGATGTAAAAAAAGAAAACACTGCAACTAATCAGGCACTGTCAAACGTCAGGCGTGAGTTAGCGTTTTGGGGACGCGTTTCAAGGATAACGTGAAAAGGCTGCGGCACTGCAACTTGCTTTTTCATGGCTTATCAAACAAAGAGGAAGAGACCTGGGCTGACTCAGAAAAGCTTACTCTCGTAAACTCCAAATTTATAGATGCGACTTCACTTGCAGCTAACTTCCCGCCGTTTTAATGGGAGGCCGGCGCACTTTATAAATCCCACTTAACTTGAACTGATCTTGAACCGAGGTTGAAGCGAACATGAAGCGCCCATATTTCATGACTGGGTTGAACCTACCTTAAACGCGACTTCGTAGTCCTTTAACATGGTGGCTTGCCGATATGATATCGCACGCGGGATCGCCGCGTGCGATATTTGTCTCCTACAATTGCGGCGTTGCCTTCGACGACGACATTTCTTATTCTTACCAAGAAAAGCGGCCATCCCTCCTTGATGGACTGCATCCCACCGCAACGTGCGACAACAAACGGCAACGGGGCGGGGGCTGCTCGGCCGTAGCTTCACCGCCTGATCCGATAGGCGACAACAGGGGGCTGTAGCTGATAACCAAGCTACCGTTGTTCGCCATGCTGCTACTTTCGCTGGAAGGATGTTTCTAGCTGTCAACATTTCACAACTGGCGGCGTACCATGCAATCAGGAGAGTGACGCGTCTCACCGTAAGGCACCAGTCGCTCCGACGTCTCGAACCCGTCCACTTCCCCGGCGCCCCCGAAATCACCCACCTTCTTTGAGTGACCGGGTTCACGCACGTGCGTATCAAGAGCCTGGTGGCGATTATGCATACATTTATTAAAACTTCCAACCAGTTTCCTGCATAAGCTATCAGGTGGGTTACCCAGCTTACCGAAAATAAACAAGCCTAGCTCTTCCAGAGGTTCCGGCGTGAAAAACCTGAGCAAGCATGTGTCGCGTGCACGCACGTTTGCTCATGCAAGCTCTTCACCCCTAATATGTGAAGTAAGCTTCCTGAATTACTAGCAGTTCTTTCCAGTTGTTTTGTCTTTGCTGAATTACTCGTTTATGCTGAAAGTATATGTAGCTGTTCCTTGGGTGTGAGCAAAATAAATATGGAATATCAGGAATGCTTTGTACTATTGGGGAAAAATGAAATGCGAACAGAGGAGCGCAGTCAGTCAGTCAGTCAGTAAAACGTTTATTATTTGGCCGAAAAAAAGAAAGAGAAAGGATAGAATGCAGCGGTGGCCGGACGCCTGGCTGCTAGGCCGTAAGGGAAGTCAGATATGCGCTTGCAGTCCCGCCTCGAACACGAAGTCGAGGAGGGTCCGCAGCACACGCTTACGTGCACCCTCTGTTCCTGGAGGGTGCGTCCAGCTTTCGAGCTGGATGATTTCGAGTGGCCGGTGGCGGGATCGTATTGCTGCCAGGTCCGGACAGGACCAGGCAAGGTGGGCGAAGGTAGCCCGGGCTCCGAGTTTGCAGCGCTGGCACAAGCCCGAGGACTTGTTTTGGCTCCATGTTGCTATTCGTGCTGGATCGACCGTTGTGTCCGTTCTGATGCGCAGAAGGAGGACTCTTGCTCGACGACCCAACCCCGACGGAAGAGGGTCCGGGTCCTCGGGCAGAAGTTCCTCGAGCCGAATGCGACATTCGTTTCTGATGAGAGTGCGGTGCTCGTCCGGGTCCAGTTCCGCGTGATCGTTGAGGGCGGTGGACTGGCGGTTGTAGGTTCGGAGACAAGAAGCGCGATCACGCTGCGTCGCGTATCCGTGTTCTGATTGATGTGAGGGACTGGTCTCCTCGCCCGAGAGGAAGAGTGCGGCACGGGCGATTCGATGAGCCTCTTCATTTCCAGGAATCCCGGCGTGGCCAGGTACCCATTCGATCTTGACGTGAACTCCCTGGCCACGAAGTTGCGAAGCGAGGTTTTTAATTTTTCGCACTAGCTTTGAAGGGCTGGCTCTAGCCTTGCATTCTTTGATTGCTTCCTGTGAATCTGAAAAGATGCGAAGGTTCGCAGGGAGGGCGGATGTGGAGGAGGACATAGCTTCCTGGGCTGATGCTAAAGCCAGGCAAATGGCGTGGAGTTCTCCCTGTTTGGTCGAGGAGGACAGAGGAGCGCGTGGCTCGCGGTACAGGCTGCGCCACCTGGAAGTGAGCCTAGGGGCGAGGGTTCGTGGCCTACTCCGATGTGTTCACGCCCTTCGCTCTGCGCTTCCCAAGCTTCGGCAGTGCGCCTCTCAGTGCGCTGAAAGCCATCACCGCTATCTTTGCTCGCTCGGCCTGTGCGGCGAGCTTCTTCGCACCGCACGCGCTGAGCCAGCAAAGATAGCGGTGATGCTTGCAGCGCCCTGAGAGGCGAGCCGCCGAAGCTTGGGGAGCGCTGAGCGAGGGGCGTGAACACACCGGAGTAGGCCACAGACTCTCGCCCCTAGGCTCACTTCCAGGTGGCGCAGCCTGTACCGCGAGCCACGCGCTCCTCGCATTTCATTTTTCCCCGATAGTACACTTTTCTGCTACCATATGCATTTCAATTTCTCAAATGATTTCAACATTGTCAAATGGGTGTTTAGAACAAAATTGGTCATAGAGATGATGAAAACTCCCCCTCATGCATGTACGATTTCTAAAATTTACTGCTGCCACACATTTCGACAAGTGTTGACATGTTCGGTCATCATGTGTTCACTAGTTGTTCACCATGAAACGTTACTCTTCTTTTTTTTTACGTTACTCGACAAACGTTACGTTTGTCGAATGGCTTTACTGAAAGGAAACATTACATCTTTTTTTTTTTTAAGAT